GAGAATCATGGCCCAGCCAAGTTGACACACAATCTTAACCATCACAAGTAGTAATAACTATTCTATTATTAGTTTTATGTGTATATATACCCACATATATATACATATACAGAGCTCTAGTGGCACAGTGGTTAAGAGGTATGGCTGCTAACTAAAAGATCAGCAGTTCAAATCCACCAGCTGTTCCTTGGAAACCCTATGGGGCAGTTCTACTCTGTCCTATAGGGTTGCTATGAGTCAGAATTGACCTGACAGCAATGAGTTTTGTTTGTTTTTTTTTTAAATATACGTGTACATATATCTCAGATAATTTATAATCTGGACCTCAGCTATCCTTTCCAATTAAACCTTGTACTTTTCATACTCGGAATTCTGTTTTCACAGGCTGCTTGTCTCTGCCCCCAAGCCTTTGTCCGGAACTCTTGCTAAGCCTTTACTGACCTTTCTATTTCTCTAAATTTATCAAAATTTTGCACTTTCTTCAAGTCCCATTTCAGGTTTTATTTCCTCCAGAAAGTCACCCCTGACTAGTCTCTAAGTATAGTCTTCATTGACTTCCTCTGAAATCTATTGCTCTTTTTTTTTAATACCATTCCTTCTGCATTTGATATAAGCTGCACTACACTTTTGTTTTTCTATTTAACCGTGTATGTATCTATGTTTTGTTTTCCTAAATAGATGAGTTTCTTGATGTGAAGGCCTGTTTTGAAGCACATAAAACAATGGTTGGGACCACTCACTGTGGTCCTAACCCTGGTTCCACCACTTTAACTGTGTGACCTTGCACAAGTTACTTAATCTTGATGTGCCTCAGTTTCCTCACCTCTTGAAAGGTGATAATGATAGTACCTAGTTGTTGTGAGTTTAAGTGAGCGAATACTTAGCTCTGCCACTTACCAATTTAATACCTGTAAAGCTCTTAGAATCCTGCCATACAGTGCTCAGTAGATGTTGTTGTCAGCAGTAGTAGTATTGGTGTTATCAGTACCTATATATCCTCCTCCAGTGCTAGGCACATATTATATGTATTTAATAAATACATTATTGAATGGGTGACTATTTCCTCTCTAATACGCCTTTTCAAGGAGCCCTGATGGCACAGTGGTTGAAGTGCTTTGCTGCTAACTGAAAGGTCGGCGGTTCGAACCCACCAGCCACTCTGGGGAGAAAGACGTGGCAGTCTGTTCCTGTAAAGATTTACATCCTTGGAAACCCAATGGGGCAGTTCTTCTCTGTCCTATAGGTTCACTATGAGTTGGAATCAACTCGATGGCAATGGGAAAAAAAATGGAACTCCTGATCGATTTTCCTTCCTTCTTTTCTTGCTTACATATTAGCATGAAAATTGAATGTCTCCCTTCATTTAATTCTGAAGCAAAAAAGGGTTTAAATAGTTTTTACTCTCTGGTATAAGGAAACATACCAGTTCATTGAGAGAAACTATTTTTCTGCATACTAAATCTGAAATGGAATTTATTGTAAGATTATTTATGTGTCAGGATGCTGGTGGAGGGGGAAGGGCTCATTCTTCTAAAAACATATTTAACAGTGTCAAGATTAGAAAAATAATTCCATTAAATACAAGAGCTGTATCAAACTGCATCGGCAGTCCCAGGGGACTAGGCCAACTGAGGAGGCGGATTAGACAGACAGAGCTTTGTACATGCCCCTACACCAGAGATTCACTGGGAAACCAAAGAGTAAGATTGGTGGTGCATGCAAAACATGTATAACCCAGAAGTTGACATCTGAAATTACCTCCTACATCCTAGGTGTATTGCTGTCTTTAGGGAGTAGTGTAGTCAGTAATATATTGTAATTGCAATAACCAGATCATTAAGCTATGTCTGCAGAGAGCATGGAAAAAAATACATCTGCCCTTTAAGTGACAGTGGATCAAAGAATATATTAAAACTGTTTTCATAAAGTACTATCACTATTTTTAGTATAGTTTCCCATACATGAGTTAGGCATTTTAGTTAAACACACAGATACATTCTGGCATCCCTTCAGAAATTAAAAGCCTACCCAAACACACTTGGTTGTTTTGTAGAGGTAAATAACCATGAAGATAATGGAGAGCTAGTACAGTGATTTATTTAGATTTTCAGATGATTCATTAACAAAGGCTATTAAAACATTAGTCATCTTGGAATCAGAAGAAAGTTTTGACATAGGTTAAAAAACTGGTTTTAAGACAGAAATAACAGTTAGCCTATTAGATCTTTTTTCAGTGGGGATTAACTAGCAGGGCATTATAAGGTCCTGGGATTTTACTTTACTGAGACAGTCATCTAGTGCTGCCGTAACAGAAATAGCACAAGTGGATGGCCTCAAGAAAGAGAAATTTATTCTCTCACAGTCTAGTAGGCTACAAGTCCAAATTCAGGGCGTCAGCTCAAGGGGAAGGCTTTCTCTCTATCTCGGCTCTGGAGGAAGGTCCTTGTTGTTCATCAGTCTTCCCTTGGTCTGGGAGCATCTCTGCACAGGGACCTCAGGTCCAAAGGATGCGCTCTGCTCCCGGCACTGCTTTCTTGGTGGTATGAGGTTCCCATGTGTCTCTGCTCGCTTCTCTCTTTTATATCTCAAAAGAGATTGGCTTAAGACACTATCCAGTCTTGTATACCTCATCAGTATGACTGCTGCTAATCCATCTTATTAGATCATAATGATTGAATTTACAACACATAATGAAATCGCATCAGATTACAAAATGGTACACAATTAAACAATACTAGGAATCATGACCCAGCCAAGTTGACAGATATTTTGTCAATCCATGACAAATGGACACAAGAAACCCAGGATGGAAAGGGGGAGTGTGCTGTCACATTATAGGGATTGCAACTAATGTCACATACCAATATGTGTATAAATTTTTGTATGAGAAATTAACTTGAATTGTAAACTTTCACCTAAAGCACAATTTAAAAAAAAAAGAATTTTCATCAACAGATATTAAAATTATTACCTGATAGCCTGTTGGAGAATAGAATATTCATATACTCTCAAAGTGGCTCCCCCTTGATTATTTATTGGTTACAGAGGAGAAAAGATACCTTTACAATGGAGAAACTTGGCAGACAACTCCTTAATCAAGCGATCAAACTTAGTATCACCAATGATATTGATGGATATGGAACCAAGTGACATCATGTGCCTTCCAAGATGATTCACTAAGAACACAACATCACCTGTGTTGCATATTTGCCAAAAATGTTTAACCCAAATCTAATCGTGAAATCCAAATTAAGGGCATTCTGCAAAACCACTGGCTTGGACTCTTCAAAAATGACAATGCCATGAGACAAGCTGCTGAACTAGTCTGAGGATTAAAGGAGATTAATCGATAGGATTGTTGTTGTTGTTGTCTTGAACCCGCCAGTGGATTCTTACTCATGGCTGTAATCTTTATGGAAGCAGATTGCCAGGCCTTTCTTCCACACACTGCTAAGTGAGTTCAAATTACCAACCATTCGTTACTTACTGAGTGCAAACTGTTTGCACCACACAGGGACCTTTAATCTAAAAGAGATGATAGCAAAATGTGAGTCTTCATTGGATCCTGGATCTCCCACCTTCAACAATAAAAGAAAAAAAGTCACAAAGCTACAAAATTTAAAGTGCACTGCATATTAGATAATAGTACTGTGCTAAATGTTAATTATCTGAGTGGATTGTTGTATTGTGGTCATGTAGGAGACCGGCCTTGTTCTTAAGAGACAGACGCTGAACTTTTGAGGGGTGAAATGGCACTGTGTGCAACTAACACCAAGACAAATTTTTTAAGAACTAAAATTCTGTTACTGTTTGAGGAATTTTGTATCAACAACTAGTCAACACCATCCACAGACTAGACAGAACCAGCAAAGTACCCCCTACACAGCTTAGAAGTAGGATGGACAGGAAGCACGCAACCAGAACCGGCCCTCACTGCCATTGGCAGCCCGTGGAGCGAGGGCTTCAAGGTCTTCTGCGCGGCCCACGCGGCTCTATGCACTTTACGGCAGTCCCGTGAAGGCGCGAGGCCTAGGTCCCGCCTCCAACACGACAGCGGCACGGTTGCCCTGCGCACTTTACGGCCATCAGGAGAAGGCAGGCAGGCTGAAGGCAGGAAGGCTGCAGGCAGAGGCTGCGTCACGGTGGGCCACGGCTCAGCCATTATGGCGGCGGTGGCGACACTGGTGCGGAGGGCGAAGGACTATGTGCAGACCAAGGAGTTCCGGGAATACCTGACTAGCACGCACTTCTGGGGTCCTGTGGCCAACTGGGGCCTTCCGTTGGCTGCATTCAAGGACATGAGGGCGTCGCCGGAGATAATCAGCGGCCGCATGACGACAGCGCTTATTTTCTACTCGCTGGCCTTCATGCGCTTCGCCTACCGCGTACAGCCTCGAAACTTGCTGCTGATGGCATGCCACGGCGCCAACGTGGTGGCGCAGAGTATTCAGGGCACCCGCTGTGTTCTCTACCACTACGGCAGCATCAGAATGAGCACCCCTGCCGACCCTCGCGACCTTACAGCGACCAGCTCCAGCCAGGCGTCAGCCGCCGCTGCTTCTCGGTCCGCAAAATGACTTTCTTAATGACTGAGAGTGTCTGATCGAATTTAGTGCTTTGCATCTTGCAAGCACTAAATTTCTCCTATAGAAAAGACCAGTTAAATCTTTGGTTTTGACTACAACAGTGTGAATCTGACTTAAACCTGCAGTTTGGTTAATAAATGGAAAACAAAAAATGCCAGAGTAGATGTGGAATTCCTGTCTTCCAACGGCAAACACACAGAAATGTTGCATTAAAGTATATTTTTAAAAATGTATTAAGTTCATAATTGAGCGAAAAAAGCAAGAGAAATTTTCAGGTGCTAAAAATCTATAAGAAACCAATAGCCAAAGCTATGTGTGGGAAGCCACACAAGACCCTAGGGACTAGGGCTCTAACCCTTTTGGGAACAGGAGTCAAGGCCACATACCCTGTTCATGACATGAAACTGAAACCACGCTCACTGAGTAAAACTGGGAGCTGGGAAAGTATTGCAGCACTGGTGAGCCAGACCGGAAAACTCTACCTGCAAGTTGTGGCAGGAAGCAGTTTCCCACACCATGTCATGAATGGAAATAGTCAACTACCCTCCAGAAGTAAATCCAAAGCCAGCACCTTTCCTGTGTATGGGTCCAAATTCACACTGATTTCTCCTGGTGGAAACCCTGAACTGAGACAATAACTCAAAAACTGGACTAGACTATGGGACATAAAATGATACTCGTGAAGAGTGTGCTTCTTAGCTCAAGTAGATCCATAAGGCTAAACAGGCAGCTCCTGTCCAGAGGTGAGATGAGAAGGCAGAGAGGGACAGGAGCTGGTTGAAAGGACACAGGAAATCTGGGGTGGAAAGGAGGAGTGTGCTGTCACAGTATAGGGAGAGCAACTAGGGTCACATAACTATGTATAAATTTTTGTATGAGAGACTAGAATTGTAAACTTTCACTTAAAGTACAACAATAAAATTTAAAAAAAAACCAACCTAGAATCATTCAATTCTGTAGGGCTCTTGTAAAGGAAACCACAAAAGCAACCCTATTAGATTTTTTTTCAGCAAAACACCGTGGACTTTTTATGAAGATAAGCTCACCAGCAAAAAAATTGCGAGGCACTTAAGTATACTCACCACCTTGAGGTCAACCAGTAGAAGCAACAAAATAAACTGAGAAACTAAATAAAATAGAGACTCTTCAAGGGATTTTAAAACAAGCATGTCTAAACTATTCAAAGATGAAGGAATGTCACAAGAGAAAAAGAAAAAATAGGAATATTCCAAATAGAATCAAGTAGAATATGAAAACATTGTCAATGAATTTAAAAAAAAAACCAAAAACACACAAAATGCTTCAACAAACAGGCTGAATAGACCAATTTGAAGAAAGATTTAGTGAATTGGAAGATAGATCGGAGGAACTCATCTAGAATTCAGTATAGAGAGATGAGATATAAAATATGAAAAAGGATAGAAAGATAGGCTTCATTGTATTTCTGATTGTGTTCTAAAAGAAGAGAATAGGTTTGTGGAAGATCAACATGTCTTTTTTTAAAGCATCCTTTGGTATTTTTGTCAGAGATTTAATACTGGATTAGATAAACCTTGGGAAATTTCTCTATTTATTATGTGTTTTAATTTTGGCTACCAGGATCTACACTAATTTATGTACGTTAGATTGTTGTACCAAGACCATGGCCAGACAAGCCAAGCCTAGAATGCCTGATATTTCCACAGTCCCTGATGAAGGGACTGTCTCCAGCACCCAGTCACAACTGACTGGACAGAGGTAGGTGGGCATTTGACTCAGGGACAGCTATTACATAGGGTTTTCTTGACATGACCTGAAATGAAAAGATAAGTTGAGTAGATCAGATCCCATCTCTTGAACATTTGAAGTCAGAAATTAGGTAACAGGAGAAGATAAAGTTGAAGGTTAAAAATATGGCAAGTGGCTAGAGAGCCTATGATGGTTCGTGTTCAAGTTCAAGTCATGATGGAACAGAAACCATGAGTAAGCAGAAGCTATGAAGTAGAGAAGTGCTATACAGAATATGCAAAAATAAGTAGGCGAATAAGCCAGGTAGGAGAGAAACAGGTCAAGTGTGGCTGAGTCTCGTGAATGGCAGTCACAGTCTTGGCAGTTGCCAAGATTCCCTAGGGTTGTCTGGGATCCATTTCTAGTTCCAGCAGTGCCAAGTTATACCGCGTTCCTGGATCTTTGTGGAGTCAATTGGTTCAACTATTGTGGGGTTTCTATACTTTTGTCTTCTTCCAATGAGCCCCTCATTAATACCGAAGGCAGCTTAAATAAGTGTTTATTGAAAATTATCTTTTAAGGAGTAGAGCCTAGATTCAGTTAAGCTATACAGTTAATCTAGGTTACCTTGACTGTGTAGGGTCCCTTTCCTAAATGTCTCAAAGGTCTCTGTGGAGTGGGAGTGGAGGAGGTTGTGGTGGGCATATTGATTTTACAGTTTTTCTCCAGGAGAGGTTGCTGAGCTTAGGTGCTTACTGTTCTGCCCCTGCTAGTGTAGAGAGAAAAGGCAGTAGTAGGTTAGTGAGGTGCTAATAAATAGGAACAGTGCCTCCTGTGGGTCAGCCAGCTAACCATTTTCTCACTCTGAGAGGTCCTTGGGTGGTGCAAATACTTTGCACTTGGCTGCTAACTAAAAGGTTGATGGTTCAAACCCACCCAGCAGCACTGTGGAAGAAAGGCCTGGTGCTCTGATTTTATAAAGATTACAGCCAAGAAAACCCTATGGAGTAGTTCTACTTTATAACACATAGTGGTTGCAATGAGTAGGAGTCAACCCCATGGCAAAGAGTTTGTTTGTTTTCTAGCACCCTGGCAACTACTCTGGCCAGTTGCCCAATGCCTGTGCTGCCACATTTTTGGACTGTGAAGCTAGTGGCTCACCTACTATGTGTCCTGGACAAAGGCAAAAAGGAAGCATGACGGCCAGTCTGTACATGCACTCTTTGACCTTTTCTTTTCCATTCTGTCTTCAGTCTGGGCACTGCAACTCCAGAGGATCCAGATATCAGCTTCCCTCCCTGCAACCTTAAGGAGCTTCATTTATTCCATGCAACAGAGAGCAAAGGAGATTACAGATAGTAATCTATATACTGCAGTATTGTTTTCCACTCTCTGATAGGGAAAAGTGGCTCGGCAGTGTCCATTTAAGATGAGAGGAAGTATGGGTTAGTAAAAAACAAGCAACAACCAAAACATATACTTTTAAGGAAAAAAAAGACATCTCAGTTCAAACTCAGTTGCTGTCACTAATGGATAACCTTGACTTTGGGAAAGTTACTTTATTTATCTTACTATGTCTTAGTTTCTCCATCTGTAAAATAAGCTAAAAAGAGAGTTTTCTCCTTGAAATTAGGATGAAACCTCTTTTGTTCTGTATTTTCATTTGTAGGGAATACTTTGTTACTTAGTATATAATTAAAAATATATATTGCAACTTTATTTTCTAGGGTACCATTTTTGAATATCATACACCAGAAGGTTGATAAAATCATATTATAAGTTTATTATTTCTTATTTCAGATGTGATACATTTTTGTTGTGGAAAATTTTCTTAGAAAAGTTCAAAAAAAGAAAATCAAAACTACACAGTAATCTAAACACCTAAAGATAATCATGGATAAGATTTTTCACATATATCCTTCCAGTCTTTTTTCTACGCCTGTATATTTCTTTTTATTCAAGTTGGCATTATATGAAAGTATTTTTAGAATCTGATTTTAGCCTAATAAACCATGACCGGCCTTTGATGTGGTACTTCGTATCTCTCTATATCATTTTTAATGGCTGTGTAGTAGTCCATTGTTTGATTATAGCACCGTTAATTTAACCATCCTCTATTACTGGATATTTAGATTGTCTCCAATTGTTAGTAAACCTGGTGCATATCTATGATTCTTTCTTTTTTTAAAAATTTTTATTGTACTTTAGGCGAAAGTTTACAGAGCAAATTAGTTTCTCATTCAAAAATTTATACACAAATTGTTTTGTGACATTGGTTACAATCCCTGCAATGTGTCAGCAATCTCCCTTTATCCACACTGGGTTCCCCATTTCCATTCATCCAGTTTTCCTGTCCCTTCCTGCCCTTTTGCCTTTGCTTTTGAGCAGGTGTTGCCCATTTGGTCTCCTATACTTGATTGCTCTAAGGAGCATGTTCCTCACGTGTGTTATTGTTTGCTTTATAGGCCTGTCTAATCTTTGGCTGAAAGGTGAACTTCAGGAGTGACTTCAGTTCTGAGTTAGAACTGTGTCTGGGGGCCCTAGTCTCAGAGATTCTTTCAGTCTCTGTCAGACCAGTAAGTCTGGTCTTTTTTGTGAATTTGAATTTTGTTCTACATTTTTCTCCTGCTCTGTCTGGCGCC